TCATTTCTATAATACTAGTGTTGATACCCGCGCGATGCATGAAGTGCATTACAAAATAATTCCTATTTAAATATTATAAAATGATAACATGAAATTATATTTCAACAATATTATATTCAGTAATATTTGACATTTATTTATTCTGTTTCGTTAATTTCTATTTATATGTATATATATATAGTTTTAGTTTTTGACTATTTTATATATAAATTTTATTATTTATAAGTTTATAAAATATTATATTTTTATAAAATCATATGATATTTGCATACAAATTACTTTTATGCACTTATAAAGTTGTCTTTTATCAGTCTTATAGTTTTTTTTAACAATTCATAATTCGCACATTGCTTGATAATTGACCAACGTTTAATCTATAATATTTATCTTCCACTATAATTATTAAGTGCATTAAATGTTAAAAAAATTTGATAAATAAATTTTATTTTTAGTAACTTTAATCCTTATGAAACACACAAAATTTTTTATGGTTAAATATTTTATTTATATGTTTCCATTTTTTACTTATATTTATTTCTTTAAATATTTTTTTCAATTCATATCATGAGTTAGATAGTATCTATTCAAAATATTTAGATATATTATATATATATCTCTATACTTACAAAGTGTTGTAATTTAAATTATTATACATTACTTTTTTATTAACTTATTTTTCATTTATAAAATAGTATATAAGAAAAAAAATATTTTTAAAAATTGGATAGTTTTTTAATGTACATAGATACTGCTAAGGTGAAATTTATAATTATGAATTGCACCCGACCATCAAAATTTGTTTTTGATAGTATATTATTTAAATTTTCAATAGGATTACTATTATCACTGCATATGATATATTCAATGGGATGTACCTTTTTTATAGCTAAATTGACTACAGTTTAAAAACTTTTATTAATTTTAAATTACTTATTAAGTTTTTAGGGTTTAAACATAGTCATTTTGATTATTTTATTAAATATTTTAAGTACTTATGAATAGTAAATATAATTAATTAAATTAACACATACAACCATAGATGATAATATATTTAATCAAATCAATTTCCATAATAATTATTTGAATTGTGTCAATAAATTACTATAAATTAATATAAGATCTTACTGAAAATATATATAATAATCTACGGTCAAAATTTCAATTTAAGTCAATTTGTATTTAATGATTATTAATCATTGAGTGTATATCTATCGTTCCGGAAAATAAAAAAATCATTGAGTGTATAAAAATTAGTTATGTTTTTCATGCATAAGATTTGCTAATAAATAAATAATAATTAAATGTCAAATATAGACGAAAAAATTCCCGCCCAAAATCATGCCAATTATGGAAATAAGGATTTATCCATTATATAGATATAGATATAGATTAATATAAGATCTTACTGAAAATATATATAATAAATCTACGGTCAAAATTTCAACTTAAGACAATTTGTATTTAATGAGTATTAATCATTGAGTGTATAAAAATTAGTTATGTTTTTCATGCATAAGATTTGTTAATAAATAAAATATTAATTAAATGCTTAATATAGACGAAAAAATTCTCGCCCAAAATCATGTCAATTATGGCAATAAGGATTTATCCATTATATAGATGTAGATTAAATAAAAAAATATATATATATATATATATATAAAAAAAAAATAAAGTATGATATATACATCCGGAATTCCGGGTAATATGTCTCAGATTTATAATTTATTTCATTATTCGAAATCTTTGGACAAACAGAATATTAGTCCCAATGTTTGCGCATGATATATATATATATCGACAACATTTCTTCAATACCTAAATACTATATATATATATGATTCAATGAATGTAACTAACTTTCAATTTAATAATTAAATTGAATTGTGAACTATATTTATAGAATAAATGTTAACTTTATATTATCCAAATTAAACGCGACCAATCGTATTATTTCCTTATAAGATGGGTGACAAATTTAATAAGAATTGTCAGAATTAATTTTGAAAAAGTTGATTATGTTAGATTTGAGTGAAGTTTTAATTTTGTATTAAACTATTATTTAAATATAATCATTAAACTTGTTTTGATGTAAAAATAAGAAATAAATAATTAGAAGTGATGAATAGTTAAATTATCTGAGTAAATGAATAGGGAATTAAAATTGATATGATGTGTAATGATGATTTATTGGTTTCATTTACTTATATTATAATATTATTGATGTTTTTACGAAGGTGTATGATTCATTTCTTAGTGTGTAATAAATGTGACTAGATTTTTTCTTATTTGTCAACCATATATTTTGGTGTTCAATAATAATTTTTCAGAACTCCACAAATTAAAGTAATTTTTCACAATAATAGTCCAAGTTGCGGCTACTGTCATATTTGTCATTGCCTGCCACAATATCCATCAACATCGGTACGTAGTGAGCAAGAGAAAGATATATGTAATGAGAATGTAAAAATCAAGTTGGAAGACAAAGCTTTAAATTTCTGAGTTGCAATTCCCATTGTCTTTATTTAGTGACGGATCTACAAATTTCATTCAGGGAGATTCAATTTTAAATGTTATAACGAGTTTGTAGTTTAAAAATTTCATGTAAAAATGTATTTACTATAAATATAAATATCGATAGGTGTACCATTAAGGTTTTAAGAACTTAAAATCCTTATTACTAAATAAAAAAGTATGAGATTTAATGTATTTATAATTTAAGTTCAACATTTATATAGTTTATGAAAAAAAAATAAGTTTTTTGGGTGAAAATTTGATTTCAATTGACTTTTTGCAGCACATTGTCTAACATTTTTGTTAATAAGAGCATATCAAATGAATAATTTTTTAAGAAAAAAATAAATTTAAAAATATGTGATTGCACAAAAAAAAAATAAAAAATCAACATTAAAAAATGTAACAATCTAACTATAATACAAAGTTTTATAATCACTAAATCAATTTACAATTAAGAGGCCTTAAATCATTATAAATATTTTAAAAAACTTATCTAGAAATGTTAAATACAAGGGTTGTTTGTACATTATTTAGTAAATAAATGATATTATTAATTTGTATTTTCTTACAATTTTGATACATATTTTATAGTATTTTTTACATTTCTATATATTTTTAAAGTATTTTAATATATATACGCATATATATTGGATTTAAAAAAATCAGGGGGCTCACGGCCCTCATGGCCCCCGTACAGCTCCGTCATTGTCTTTATTATATATAGAGAAGAGAAACAAAATGAGGTTCCATTTAATAAATTTGGACAATGAATTTATTGGAAATTACAGCTGCATTTGATAGTCGTGAGTACGTTCCTACGTTGTAGGAGATATAAAAGTCTATATCATATTTTTAAAGACCCAAAAATTCGATATTTAATCGAGTAATGCTTTGAATCTAATCTTTTTTTTGGAGATGTAAAATTTATTAGAATTGGGCGTTCCAACTTATATTAAAATGACAACGATGGAACATAGAAGACAAATTTAGAGTGGTTGGTTTGAAGACAATTTTATGGTTGATTGTAGAATTGCAAGACAAAACTAAAAGAACCTTATAATATAGTAGGTCAAGTCTTCAACTAGAGACATGGTTTGTCATATTTGGCCTGGCCTGCAACAATGAATTACAGTGATACTATTATATATTTTCTTGATTAATTTATAATCTAATTTATTTATATTATGTATTTATGATGAATATTTTAAAGTATATATATATATA